GGTATCCCTTTTCCTCTTCTCCTTCCCGGTAAAACCCTAGCAGTTCTAGAGTCACCCTGCAAGGATGTAGCAATTAAATAGATGATTGCCATATCGCTTTACGAAGTGCTTGGACTAATTGGAAAAACCAGGTACAAGAAACATGCAAAGAAAAGCATCTACTTTTGCTACTATGGTGTTCCCTATTTTGACTAGGAGGAGAAGGATAGGGTCTTCTTGTTTGGTCATTTCAGCAGGTCAGTAATTGAGATTCTACTCTCTTCCCTTGGTAGGCTTAGCTGGTCCTGAAGACAAAATAACCCCCAATATTTATACAGATTTAAAATTCGGTTGTTTCATGCTGTTTGCTTTTGATGAATGTTTTAGCAAAGGAACTTTACAGGAGTGTTCATAGAAGAATACAATTTAAGTTCATACTTGAGAGGAAGGTATTTGGAGAACTCATACTGGTTATAAGAATAATGTTCAGGTAAACACTGAACAAAGTCTAATACATGGCTCAATTAGTTTCACAGATTAAATTTTGAATAATAAACACTCACAATGAGATTGAGCTACAAAAGAGGAACTGTTTGCAGAAATTATTCAGCAAACAGTTGTAATGAATAATAAATATGAGAGAATTGTGATCCACTCATAGACATTTCATGAGTAAGTAAAAAAGGCAAAAAAATCTGAAGTAAATTATGAATGGCAAGTAAATTATTAATCATTTTCTCAAATTTACTGTTGAGATAATATGCTGACTTTGAATCAGAGTAGGTATGTGATTTCTTCTCACTAGTTTTGTGTTATTTTAACATGACAGGTTCTGAGTTCAAAAGGCATACTGCTCCAAAGAGTAATAAACTAGTAAATCTTAAATCCTAAGCACTGTATTGTTTCAAAGGCATTTATCTAAAATAAATGAAAGGGTGTATTTGCCTTCAAGCATATAGAAGTGCTGGTTGACTGTGCTGGACTGTTTATATATCTGAAGGTAAGCATATCCCCAAGAGTGTGTGGGCTGATTACACACGGGTAGCTGGGACAGACTGGGTAGCCACAGCCAGTGAATGAGAAGAGCATGGCCCAAGTTCTCATTTTTGAAGTACCACATAAAGTGTGGTACCAATTTCTGGTAGTAACAGCTACATGTTTTACTGTGCTTTAACAAGAGGGGTTTACAGCTCCCATTTTCACACAATCTTATGATAGTTGAAGTTGGAAGGGATCTCTGGAAGTCAACTGGTCCAACCTCAGGGCCACCTAGAGCTGTTTTCCCTGACCACATCCAGACTGGTTTTGGCTCTTTCCAGGGATGGAAGTTTCAGTTCAGTTGGGCTTTCATGCCAAAGGGGTGAATGCTGCTGCTGGGTTACCATCCTTGGTGGATCCCTAACCATCATAAGAAGCTATATCCTATTTACAAGCTACAGAGTGAATATGGTGATATTTATTGGTTGAAGATCATTCAAGGGAATTCAATGGAACTTCAGAGTTACAGAAAGTTTCTTTAGGCTTTCTTGGCTTTTAATTAGTTACCTGTAAATGGAATGAATACATACTTCATTGTGGTGCAATGATTTCTCATTAAAGTTTTTGTGAGAAATCATTCTGAAAATTAGGAATAAATGTACATAATAAATATCCATGGCAATGTTTATCAGGAAAAATTATTTATAAAATATCTTACTGAAATAAACTATCCAGGAATTGGAGTTCTACAAAAATGAATAGTAAAATAACATTCCTTGGGAAATTCACAGGACTTACAGTTCTTGAATCCATAAATTCATCTGTGATTATCAAAAGCTGGTAGATTTTTGTGCTTTTCTCACATTTTTATATGCAATAAAGCCAAAATGCAGTTTTGAGACGATATTTCTTCCCACATGGTACAAGGAGATATGCTGGTTTTATAACTGACTGTATTACTTTCAGATCCCAGTTTGTATACCATTGAGAGTAAAATGTGTTATTAACCATACATCTGTATCACACATTTAGAGAGAATGATAAATGACACTTTTCCACATGTCCTTGAGAACTGCTTTTTTCTAAACTTCCGGAAGCATTTATTGCATTTCAGTCCCTGAAAAGCTTTTTTGAAAGGCTTATTTTCTTATGCTTTTTATATCTTCCTATTTTTAAGGTAGTTTAGATTTCTAGATTAATGTGTTCCATGTCTAAGCTTTGGATTTCACGTCTCTACAGAGTTTAAGAAGGAAATAGGAATATTACTTGAGATCTTACTGTGCATTCTTACTGCTGTTATGCCTGTGAATGTTGTTAGGGCTGGATGGATTTGGTGTATAATAGGAAAGATACATGTTGTTATTAGTGAACTAGAATTCTGTCCCTGAAAAAATTGTTCCATTATGTTTAGTCTCTCACAATGGACTGTGATCAAAATTCCTTTCTTCTAATGGAAAATCTAGTATGGGTAATATTCATTACAAGATTGGGTTCCTAAATATACCCAGAATGCATGAACAGGCAACTGTAAACTCTGTTTTTAAACATGTGTGACCAGGTGAAAAAAAAAAAAAAAAAAAGGCTTCAATTTAATATATTCCTGGACCCACTCCACTGTTAGGAGCATGAGAAGCAATAATCTCTTTTGACTGCAACAATGAATGAGATAACAGCTTTTCAATTCTGGGTAACAGAAACTGATGTCTAGAGTGCTTGGCAAGTTTTCTTATCTGCTAATTCCCAAATGCTGATCTTTTCACTGTCAAACTATAACATTCTTACACAGAACAGAAAGAAGGTGGATGAACTTAACACCATTTTTGCCTCAGTCCCCAACTTTATCTGTTGGTGTTTGATAACATCTTAAATTTCCAGCACTGATCTTGGCAGTTAGAGAACCGTTTCCATTTATGCTTTGAGACATCCTTGCTTCTGAATAAATGGAACAGTTTACCCACCTTTGCAGATAATAGTAAGCATTACTTAGGACCAGGAGTAATATACTTTCCCATGCAGAAGACCAAAATGCCAAGTTACATTGAATTGTAAAGTTATAGAAAAACTGTATCATCTCTTAAATTTAGATATCGGTAATTGTCTGTATTTCTGTTGTTATGTCTCTGTACACAAGACCCTAAAAGCAGTTATTTGCCAAGTGATTTAGCCATGTTTTTGCCATGTTATTTAGCCATTTTAGCTAATGAAACTGTAATGTATGATGATTTTAAGTTTGGAAAAGGTTTCTGGTGTCCTAATTCAACTTAAATCTAGACTGATGGATAATGTCAGAAATCAGTGAAGAACTTCTTTCATTCTGGAAATACTGCATTTTTAATGGCAGTGTCGTGACATTTAAGTTATTCAGTCTTACACTAGATGCACTGTGTGAAGAGATGGTGAATGGAACACCTGCATGTTTCAGACTCAGCTAATTTCTCTGTTTTAGCCTTCAGCAAGTTGCTGGCTAAGTGGGTAAATGTGCTGACAGAAAACGAGGGAAACTTCCTTATGAGAAGCTGGTTCTCTTAGCTTCCACTGAAGATCTGCTTTTGAATTCTGCTATAATTTTATTTAAATCATTTAGTTCTCTACATAATGGTTTGATTTTGACAAATTGGCAAATTCTCATTAAAACCCCCAAGTTCTGGTGCTCTTCATCTTTTCTTTCTTTGATGCACTTATTAGGGACAGCATGGTCTAGAGGTAGTGGTGCTTTCTGTTACCACTGCTGTAAGCAGTAGTAAATATTTAGGTGGTAGTTGTTTTCATCAGTGCACACCCGACAAGACTTTTTCTTTTTAAACAGTTGTCAGAAATACATATTCTGAATATATACTGAAAAGTATAAAATTGCCAGCCAGACAAGGTGTCAATTTGATGAATAATATATGGGATATATTTGACATGTTTTCAAGGTTCCATTAAAAGGAAAAATGCTGGACTTCATAGCATATTATATTTAATGTTATGGCTATGTCCTTTTATATTTGATCTGATAATTTAATAACATATCTAATGGAAGTTCTTGGGAACATTTTTCATCCTAACATAATCAATTTGCAGTCTAGCTCTTCATGTTCATGAATGACTGCATTAGATTCCTGCTGTTCAGACTACGAGAACAGCCAGAGAAGGAATTTTCTCGATACTAGCCTTTAATTCTGAACCACGTACACAGGATGAGGGTTTAGTTATCTTTTGCAAACAGTTTTGTAATGCAGACCTGATGTCAAAAGGTTACTCTATAAGTTTCTCGCTCTTGCATCTCTCTGCTTTAATTTAAGGCATTTCCATTGGGATACAGCAGTCAGCTTTTCTCATTTGATATTTACTTTATTTCCACTGTGATTTAAACCTGCCTACATGTCAATCTTCTTACCTCTTTAGAAAATTCAGTGATTGCTTTTTCCCTTCCACTAAAATGTCTTGTTTCTAGGATTTTTTTCTTCTCTTGTATAAGTTGGCATGTTTATAGTGAACTTCTTGGAAGTTTCATTGTTTCTTCAGTCATTAAAAATCTCTTAAAAGTTTGGATGTAGGACTGACTTGTCACCGTTACTGTGTGCTGAGAGATTATTTTCAGCACAGTTATTAAACTGATATTCACTGTAAACTCCCAGATTTCTTTTTAATGTATATCTGGAGATTGTTAAATAAAGGAGAGACATTAGAGTTGTAGTAAATAATATGGCAGCAGTAAAATAACTTCAAATGAAGTATAGGCTTATTTGTGTAGGAAGGTTAGCTACATTATTATCCATTGAGCTTGCTGTAAGGGAGAATGAGCTATTCTAAGATTCCTGTGAAACAGTTAAAATAATAATGTTGTCTATCAAAAGGTGTCTGAATACTTTCTAAAACATATCTACAAACACTGGTTGTGGTTGCAAATGGATTTTGTTGTTACCTTCAGGCTTGGTGCATTGCACTTGCTGAGGGTTATTCAATATCTAGCAAGTGGCTCATGATACACTTTTTTGTCTTACTTTGCTTAAGTTGTTTAATTTGCATTATTTTTAAACTGACATCTTTCTATTTTTCAGTTCAAAAAATTCCAGTTGATGAGGAAGTGCTGACAGAAATGTAGGTGACAGAACTGGTGAGTTATGGATGCTTTTGCCCTCTGGCCTTTATATTTATCAGTGCACAAATGACTTTTAAGACCTAATGTTATTTACTCACTGGTTCTTACTGAGGAGTAGGTTAAGAGGTACTGCCATAGCTAGTGGAATATAGTAATAAATACTAGTTTTGTTTTGGTGCTGCTGTATGCTCTATTGGCTTATTTTACATCTGATTTCTGTATTTCCTTTTAACATCACAGTCTGTTTCCTCTCCCATTATGAATTTGTTTCAACGTGGGATTTGGGCAGATGTGTTTTCTGACTTTCTCAACCTTCAGCACTGGGCATTGTGTCTCTGAAATGGCCCTGCAAACAGATTCTCTGCATTTAAGAGAGGAAGCCATGTGGAAAAGGTATTCTGGAGATGGACAAGTGCCCAAGAGATCACGGGCTGTGGAGTCACATTGCTGACCAAAATGTACTATCACCATTGTTTCAACTAGTGGGCTGCTGATAAAGATCAACAGAATTGTTGTCAGTGAAGGAGACAGGTTACTGGTAATCTTTATAAATCTCCAAACTCAGAAGGAGTGGGGGATAAACTATTGTTTCATGACTGTTGATAACATTTTAGTGCTAGTCAGTGCAAGTTCCATTTCATTATGAACAGAATGAAGGTAAGAATTCCTGTTCTACCTTAGCTGCACAGTATTTAATAGAATCCAGACCATTTTCCTCCTCTTACCACTAAAGTGAAGTCTCCAAGGCTGTGGAGATAAGTCTTCTCTACTTGTTGAAGGATGAGGCATAATTGCATCAATTTGTTTTGGAGGAGGCTGGAAGGGTTTGGTTTTGTGTTTTTACTTTTTTTTATTTTTAAAAAAAAAAATCTCAGCACCTATCTATCTATCAAAGCAGCTTTATGCATTAAGATGGTTGTAAAAAAATTTCACAGCAATTCTCTGTGGGCTTCTGCCCCTCTTGTAGTTTTTGCCTCTTCTACATATAGGTCCTTGCCTTATTTATTATTGGTTAAATAATCAAAACTGTCTGTACCAAAATACTTCATTGTTGCAAACTGCTATATGTCATGGTGATGGATTGCCAAAAAATTGTTTTCAATCGTGTAGTAATAATTTTAAAAATTACAAATGGGCATTAAATGAATAGCTAGCAAAGTTAAAAGATTGTACAGTCAAAGGTCAGAATAATTGTGGTGCTGTGAGTACTTTTCAAAAGGTTAACTCATCCATTTTAACTTCAGTGGCATTTTGGTGGCCTTTTAGAGAAGCAAGCGGGTCTGTACCAGTGCAAGATTAAAATATGCTTGACTTGGATTTTAGAATACTTTGGAAGAGTATCATGAAGGAATTTTTATATTCAGATTTCCATGTAATTTAACAGCAGTGTCCCTACATATTTCTGAAATTAATTTAACTTTCTTGGCAAGCTTTTCATGGAGAAGGGAAAAATTATAATTTTCATAATTGCGACTTGAGATTTATTTTCCACTCAAGGTCAGGCCTTCTGTTCTTTAGGAAACAGGTTTTGGTCTGACAGATGCTAAATCTTGTAATTATGATAAAAATCATTAACTGATTGCTTGACCGGTGCTCTTGATCCTTAAGGAAGCTGTTGAGATGCATTTTTAAAAATAAAACAATACAAATAGGTAATCTCAAGCTGGCTCATTAAAAATGTTTGTAGGTGCTTCTTTTTTAGCATCAATTAAATGATAACAAAATTATCATATTAAAAAATATATGCATTCTAAGAGATCTTAAAAATGTACATATATATCTGTTTATAAAGAAGAAATGAAGCAATAGGACCAAGAAAAGTAAGCCCTTTAAAATGCATATGTTCTCTTTTCCAGTAGAACAAGTGAATTAGGCTTCAACAGACATACAAGTCCTGGTTTTGACTGTAGGCAGACACAAAGAATCTTTATTGTTAAGACAGAAATAATTATAGCAGTTGTGTTGACACTTTTCCTTACTAGGGATATCTTGTTAAAAGGAACAAGTACTGCACCCAGCTGCAGATTTCAATTAGGACTGAAGGAGAACTAGACAGTTTTCTGAGGTCATAGAATTTCTTGTAATCTTGCTATTGTTTTGAGTGATATTTAAGGAACTGTCTAAATTCTCTTTCTCAGCTGTCCTTGTTATTTGTGTAATTCTACTTGTGGTCTGCAGTGATGTTGCTGATATTGCAAGTGTTGGAGTGGATTAGCACTGATTACACAATTAATTCAGTATGCATGTCACAATATCAACGGCAAATAAATTACAATGCTTGCTGAAACATTTTAATTAGAATTTTGTGTATCATTAAGAACATCTTTGCTTTTGCTCCTGTTTTTCCTAGCTCTGCCTCACGTGTCACTAGAGACCCAAAACTGGAATAGTTTTTCCTGGAAAGATTTGACACTTACATATTCTTAAGGTGCTTATTGAAAGATGGTTCTTATTCCTTGGATGAGTGCTCTATCCACACTGCATGGCAGCAAAAGGCAGTGACTGCAGCCTGTATAAATCTGCTGTTGGGCACTCTCTGATCTCATTTGGCCACCTCCCTGGCCTGACAATGGATGAAATTACAGACCATTGGGAAGCTGAGAATGATATGAGCGCTTCTGTGTGTCTGATGACTTCCCCTCATATCCAGCTAGGATTTCAGGGATTTGAGTTTGTCTGGGGTGTAAGCTGGAGTGTAGCATAGAAGGTTCAGCAAACAGAAAAAGCATTCTTTGCTGCTAAACCCTGTATAAGCACCATGGAACGGGAAATGTGTGGGAAGCCTCTTGACTTGGGACATGTTGGTTTTCCAACTGATGGGTGAGGTCTCTTTTATCTAAGTAGCTATAGCTTACCAAGCACCACATGAGATGGTGCTGATGGTGTCCAGTCAGCAAACAGTGAGTCAGGCCTGTTTATCCTGGACAGGAACAAAGTGCAAAATAAGTATATGTTCCATGAATTCATACACTTGCAGTATTAGCAAGCAAACTCTCATTTGAATGCTGTCTTTTCTGTGTTGTGCTTCACATTCAGTTAGTGTGTTCCTGAATTTAACCTGGTGTTACATCCAGACTATCCATTAAAATGTATGTCCAAATAGACATGGGCAGCTATAGCATATATATGCACTTCCTCTATGTCCTGTCATCATCACAAACCCAGCACATTGCAAAGCAAAGTTCATTTGCCCTTCCTCATGTTTCACTATCAGTTTTTATTTCCAGGTCTGCTGCTGGCTGCCTTCTCCTTTTTTCTGACCTGTCATGACAGGACAGTTTCCATAATATTTTCTTGTCCCCCCTACTACTGAAGGCTTTTTTTTTCTTCTCACTTCCTGCTTCCTGCTAACTTCAAGACCAAGCTCTTTTCTAATTCCATCTCCCCCACCATGTCATACCTGTCTACAAGAGTTGTATTTCCCTTAGTTTTCTTCTCCTGCCTTATTCACTGCTTGTCAGTCCTCTCTCCTTCCTTCTTCTTTGATTTTTTTATTTTCTTCTATTCTCTTAAAATAGACGTTCCTGGGTCACAGAGGGAATGAAGCTAGTGGCAGCTCACCTGAAGGGCCTGTGCTCACGCTGATGCAGCAAGGCATGGCCAGAGCAGAGTATTGTGTAAGCAAGGTAGGCTTGGATCGAGCTCCCTTAGAGCACGGGCAGAATGAGCCCAGGCTGCCTGGGGAAGACCCAGCCTTTTGTTTCTGTGTGTTACCCACACTCAGTAATGTGCTCAACTCATGGCTATGCCTTGCATCAGATGGGCCTAACCAGGAAGGAGAAAAAGGAAAAAGAAGTTTCGTAATCAGTGTTTTGGAAGCATGGCCAGACTGATATGACTGTAATGCTTCTGTTCTGCCAGGCAGCTACAATTGCTTTACCTCTTACTGCAGCAGTGCAGCTTTATAAACACCCCTGCATCCCACACAGCAGTCGCTTGGTGCACTATGTACCTACTGGCTTCAGGTAGTTACCAGCTGTGACACATCTGTCTAATCCTTGTTAGGTCATAGGTTATCACACTGGAACATAATTTCACATCATGGTGCAGATTAGTCTGTGGTAGAATAATCAGTGTCATTGCCCTTCCTCAAATGCCAATTATGAACATTTCTATGTCCTTGTAGCACAAGTCAGTTTTTACATTAGCAATCTCAGCTACCTCACAGAAGCATTCTTCTATTTCATCATTTTTCTTTTTTTTCCCCAAGAGATAATGGAAAAAATGGTTCTGTGACAATGCCATTCTTTACACCCTTTGAAAGGAGGAATAGAAATGCTAATGTTTACTGTAGGTGAAAATGTGTCTAAGTCTCAATCTCTTGGTGCAAGACTAAATCTCTTGTGTTTGTCGTAGAATACTTGGATATAGATTGCTCTGGCAATTGCTTAATTGAAAAATCAGAAATTTTAAGAAATTATATAAACTGAAGATTTGGTCAGTTTTTTTTATCTGATACACTTATGCAGTATATTTGAAATGTAGATGACAATACACCTTTTTTTTTTTTTAAACTGTGAGCTAAAAAAAGCTGTGAAATAGCTGAAAACTAAAGCTATATGAAAAATAATTTTTCACAGTTGTAAGTGGACATCTAAAGGAGAGAACATGTTTAGATTAAATGCTTTTATTCCCAACAAAATAGAAAATTCTAACTTTTGATCTAGGATGGGTATTTGTTAGAGGAGGCATGTAGGCATGACAGACTGGATTTTAAAAATACTTGTATCCCTCTTTTAGCTTTTTACCTTTAAATAATTGAACAGTCACAGAGGGCAGAAGGTGGAGGATGACTCAGATCTGGAAACTGGAATATGGAGTGGTCATAAAGTTACCCCTTCCAAGTGAAATGAGTATTAACAGACAAAAGGAGAGACACTGCTTCAAAGTAGCCATTACCATGGTGGCCAAGGTGATGTCTGGAAGGGAAGGAGAAGACATCAAATAAAGGTAGTGGAGAGAAGTGAAAATTTTGTTCCAACAGTTTGTCCAACGTCTAGCTAGTTGCCCTGTTC